TAATTCCATGCTGCCAACTTCAGGTGGAATTCAGTCTAGACACAGGAAAACAGCATATGGAAATATTACTAATAAAATAGAGCACTGTGCATATTCTGCTTAATTACAAGCTTTCAGGCTGACACAGGAATTGCTGTGTGAAAAATGTATAACTTCTGTTATAGAACACAGCAGCACAACACTAAATTATTATAAAACTCTAAAACTTCTTGGTGTGTTTCAAAATTATATTCCTCACTCCTCAGCCTCCAAAAATCACTGAATCAACTAAATGGTTATAAATGGTCTTTAGCTAAAACAGACACAGGAAAAGAAAAGCGTTTGCAAAACAAATAACCACATTATAGTCAGTCAAAGTTTTAAACTACAAAAACAATTTTTATTTTTTGCTGTGTGTTTTCTTTAATATGGTATAACACTGGGAAGGCCTATTATCAACAAAGAAGTTTCTCACCACAGGATTAAGATGTTTGTTTATTAAGTCACATTTCAAAGCTTTTCCTTGACAGCCTTACAGATCTTGTCTCCACTTAAGCACATGCATTAATGTAAGTACTGGAAATGTGAGGTGAGAGACCTGGAACAGGTGCTTTTCATTAGGAATATGCACGAGCTAGTCAGACTGGCTAGATAAAACAGTTCATCACAAATATTAATTATAACAATGGGGGGAAACAAACATACCAGAGTTTGATCATACAGTGGGCCTGCTGTTCAGGTTCAGTGCACATTTTTAAAAATCAGAAGGTAATTGTCTTATGTTTGATCCACTATCAGTCATCTCTTCTCCTACTAATAAAAAGCATCTGTATTTTCTATAATGACAATGCATTGTTTATATGCTGGAATTTTGTTAGTTCCTGGGCACCTGTTTAGGTATGTCTAGACTACATCCTTCTGTCAAAAGAGGGATGTAAATGAGCCCAATCGAAAGAACCCGTACTCCTCAGTTTTTCAGGAGTATGGGTTCTTTCGAAAAAGGTTTTTTTCCCCCAAAAGAACCGTGTCTAGACTGCGGTTTCACTTTCAAAATACCATTTTTCGAAACAGCAATCGGACGTGAATATGCAAATGAAGCGTGGAATATTTAAATCCGTACCTCATTTGCACTTTCAATCAGGCTCATTTACATTCCTCTTTCGACAGAGGGTTGTAGTCTAGATGTGCCAGTGTGACTGGGCATACATGCTCATTCAAACCATGCCTATAGTATTATCGACAAAAAGTCCGTTCATTCTTATAGATTACCATAGTCTCCAGAAAGGTTTTCCATAATCTGTTGTAGGTAAATATAGGTATGATAGCAAATGAATGGCTGAGTAAATATGGCACTTTTACATTTACATATGCAACCTTTCCTGGATCTCATGCAGAATTAGGAAACAATCTTTTGTTAGAGAGAATATTTCTAAAATACTGTAATTTGAAAATACATGCCACAAACTAGATATTAAGAAGTTTAGAAAAAGCCAACAGGCCGTTTACCTGAGTTTATTTCATAACATTAAACTGATAACTATGAGTTGATATTTTACCATTCACTGTGATTTTAAGGACTTACCTAAAGACAATGATTCTGGTTTATATTTATCTGTATAATTAAAGCAAAACAACCCCGCTCATATGAGATTAATATTAATGGGCTTACACAAGTACAGCTATTCCTGTATAGGAAGGGTAGTAAGCTACACTAGTATAAGGCACATTTATATTATTATAACTGTGTTCATATTAGTGGGTCTGAACCAGGGGTAAATGTACATATTCACTGGGGGTACAAATCGGCCTTCCTGGGGTACATCAACTCATCTAGATATTTGCTTAGTTTTCATAGAATCATAGAATATTAGGACTGGAAAGGACCTCGAGAGGTCGAGTCCAGTCCCCTGCCCTTATGGCAGGACCCAGTACTGACTAGACCATCCCTGATAGACATTTATCTAACCTACTATTAAATATCTCCAGAGATGGAGATTCCACAACCACTCTAGGCAATTTATTCCAGTGTTTAACCACCCTGACAGTTAGGAACTTTTTCCTAATGTTCAACCTAAACCTCCCTTGCTGCAGTTTAAGCCCATTGCTTCTTGTTCTATCTTCAGAGGCCAGGAAGAACAAGTTTTCTCCCTCCTCCTTGTAACACTCTTTTAGATACCTGAAAACCGCTATCATGTCACCTCTCAATCTTCTCTTTTCCAAACTAAACAAGCCCAATTCTTTCAGCCTTCCTTCATAGGTCATGTTCTCTAGACCTTTAATCATTCTTGTTGCTCTTCTCTGAACCTTCTCCAATTTCTCCACATCTTTCATGAAATGTGGCACCCAGAACTGGATACAATACTCCAACTGAGGCCTAATCAGTGCAGAGTAGAGCGGAAGAATGACTTCTCGTGTCTTGCTCACAACACACCTGTTGATGCATCATAAAAACATGTTGGCTGCTTTTTTTTTTTTTTTTTTTTTTCAACCCCCTC